GMWAKKWAMRWWAMAARMARMKMAGMAARAAAARRAAGYRAATATGAAATAAATACAGTCGACCTTGTTATTCCRACCACTGAACGGAAAWYRAAAAGTGGCTGGATTAATGGGGTGACTGTATTAACCAGGCAGAAAAGTATGGTTTAAATCACCGCAACATAAAAATCTGGCCATTTCATGTATKGTGGCAGTATTAAGTGGGATTCCACTGTAAACAAACAAAAASASAAGTGAGAAAAATAATAGTACCTTTGGCATTCTAGTCATTCCTCCAACAAGAAGAACATCTCCAATATCACTCTTGCTGATCTCAGCATCTTGTAAGCATTTCTTGCATGGACCAACTGTTCTGTTTATCAGATCACTGACAAGTGACTCAAACTTGGCTCTTGATAGCTTCATGTTCATGTGTTTTGGTCCACTGGCGTCAACTGTGATGTACGGCAGGTTAACATCAGTCTGAAGTAAAATCAAACAAATTATGGACCGTAGATATCACAATATTATATTGTACATGTCTAACAGTTAGTAGAGCTCAGTACATTCCTTTTACTAAACAATTTTCCTGTCCTTATAATCGCCAGGACACTGCAAAACAATAACCTGTAAGCTATAACTACAGTACTTCCATCCAGATTTTATGATTACATGTATGTACATGTACATACATGCATGATTGTCTTAGTACCTGCACAGATGAGGAGAGTTCAATTTTTGCTTTCTCAGCAGCTTCTCTGAGTCTTTGTAAGGCCATGGCATCCTTGGACAAGTCAACTCCACTCTACAAGTTCAATAATAAACTATTAAAATCCTTGACGTCACTTATAGCTGAAGACAAGAAGTTGACCATCTCAAATAAATGGGGCCATTAAATTTTTTCTTTCTTTCTTGCAAATGTTTATGCTCTGTAAGGCTTCTGAAATGGAATGACAATGGCTCGCAAAGGCTAGGTTATTTATTTTTTTTATTTTTTTTTATTTATAATACATCAAGCCTTGAGAAGTCTTCACCSTTTATTGATCACTTGGAGACATCAACAATTGTTACTTACTTCTTTCTTAAATTCAGAGATAAGGTGCTTCAATAGGGAATGGTCAAAGTCTTCACCACCCAAGTATGTATCACCGTTGGTTGCTTTGACTTCAAACACTCCTTTCTGTATCTCAAGAATTGAAATATCAAATGTTCCACCACCAAGATCATACACAGCAATACTAAACAAAGTAAATATAAAGTTAAAGTTACAACAGGCTGACTGAGAAGGTTGTATTATAACCTCCTGCCTTGGATTATATTTCACAAACTCCGTTCGAAATATATGAGAAAATAACAGGAATATTTCCATTTACTGTGCTACGGACCCTCACTACTGTACATTTGTTTATATAATTTCAATTATACTTTCAGAAGCGGCCCTGGTATAAAGGGATTGACTTCAACAATCATTCATATCATTAGGATTTTAGATATATTTCAAGATCTAAAATATCAAAATTTAGATAGTACCAATCGTATATGGCTTTTTTGAATCTCAAAATTTTCTTATATCAGTCACCTACATTTTATCTTCTGTTTTATCCATCCCATAAGCCAGTGCAGCAGCGGTAGGTTCATTAATGACTCTCAACACATTTAAACCRGCAATTTGTCCAGCATCTTTGGTTGCCTAGGTACAGTAGCAAAACAAAGAGAAAATTTCAGTTAAACTTATTATAGACCTTATAAGGAATCATAATTACACGTACCCTGCTATGCAGGGGGTACGTGTAGTAAAATGCTGACACTTTCTTGTTTTTTGTTTTTTTTTCACAATGTCGAAAGTTTGGCTTCGGTACATCTTCGTAGCCAATCATATCTCCGGGTATATCTGACCTTAAAATTATACTGCAGAATCACAAAGGCAGTTACAGCTGAAATTTTAAGAGCCACCACACATAAGGTTATCGCAAAAATCACATATATCTTGGCAAGGCTCGATGGATCAAATCATTTCTTTATTCTGTATCAGGTTTTAATAAGGCCTCATTTACTAATGATCTCACAACATCATGCACAACAAAGGGTACGTGTCAACCCTGCATACAGGGTCTAGTTTACTAATGATTTCACAACATCATGCACAACAAAGGGTACGTGTCAACCCTGCATACAGGGTCTAGTTAATGTATAATTTACCTGTCGTTGAGAATCRTTAAAGTATGCAGGTACAGTAACAACAGCATTGGTGACAGTGCTACCAAGATAACTCTCTGCTGTCTCTTTCATCTTCATCAAAACAAAAGCTCCTATTTGACTTGGTGAGTACATTTGACCATTGACTTCAAACCATGCATCRCCATTTGACGATCTCACTATCTTATATGCCATGTTTTTACTGAAAAGCAAAGGTGTGGTTAGAATAGACATACACACACTGTATACACACTACTCATGGAGCCATATTACAATGCAAGAAAGAGTACCACTGAAGCTATTACAGGGTTGATGGTACATTTTCACTTCAAAATTCCAGGACTCTTCAAGTACTTTTTAAGCACAAAAATGCGATTTTTTAAAAAGGAGTATTTTTGAAGATATTTTTTGGTATTTTTTTCAAAAATAACCACATTTTAATTCAAAAGCTAACAAACAACTTTCATCAGATTCAAGGAGGTTTCCAAGAGTTTTAGTGATTTTCCCCTTTCAAGCGCCCTTGAAAATGAGTTTTCAATTCCAGAACGTTTCAAGAACTTCAAGAAGTACTGTAGCATCCCTGCCTTGTTTAGCTTACATTTGAGCCTTATCTTTCTATAATACAATGTAACCCTGCCTTGTTTAGCTTACATTTGAGCCTTATCTTTCTATAATACAATGTAACCCTGCCTTGTTTAGCTAAACTTGTACATGTATAGTGTAATGTCATATGGTATGATAATAATTCTACCAACAATATTAGATCTTGACCTTTATTGTAAGTGAAACCTTTACTAAAGAAATATGACATCACCTTGTACTTAACCAATTTACTTACATGTCTTTTTTAACTTCAGGTGCATCAAAGCGACGGCCGATATATCGTTTTGTAGCATAAAGTGTATTCTGTGGGTTTGTTACAGCCTGTCTCTTTGCCGGTGCTCCAACAAGACGCTCTCCCTCAGGTGTAAAGGCTACAACGGATGGCGTTGTTCTGTTGCCCTCTGCATTTTCCAGCACTTTGGCAGATTTTCCTTCCATTACAGCAACACAAGAGTTTGTGGTACCCAAGTCAATACCACATACTGCACCACGAACTCCTTCAGAACTTTAAGAAAATATAATAAATCTATTTTAGATACATGTTTGACATCAAAATGTTAAAACATGAGCAAAATGAAGATTTTAATTTCATAAACAAGCAGGCTTGGCCTCAAATCCTAGGAATGAGGCTATTTCAACCTGTACCAGAATTGTAAGAACAGCCAATATACTGTAGACCTTGTCTAGGATTCAAAGGTCGAAAGATTTTCATGAAAAATAAACAATACTTAAGTTAATTGTAATAATCAAAATTTACAATATTTTATGTGTAAATAAATCTAAATGCGCCGTTGGCATATAGTGTTTTAAAGTCACGTTTTCTACGTAGTTATATTTAATATTTCCCTCGCAGACAAACGACGAGTTAGTGTGAAGWTGCAGATGAAATCAGGGAAGTTATGTCATCAGGATCACTGAATACGCAAAATCTGCTGTGTCATTTGACATGGCATACGAAATAAGGAGTAAAAATGATATGTGAAATCTAGATTTGATTGTCTAAATGCTGTGTAAAAATCAGCAGTACAGTATTTCTACGATTTTCAGCTGATTCCAGCCACGTGCTATTTGCACGTGTGAGAATCAAAAATCGTTTTTTTGAAACATTATTTAATCACTTACCTGTACAAACGACTATTAAAAACAGAATTATTTGTGATCGAAGAGCCAGCGATATTRTTCTGCCAACCAAAAGATAAGACGCGTTATACATCAAGATTTTGAGTAAAAAAATGCTGAGCTCAAGTTCACTTGTCAAGATTGCAAACTCACCCGGTAAAGTTTGGAAAATCCACGCACGCTTTGAGATTGGCTTAAACATCGCTTTACTTGCTTGAGCGATGATCTACTGATATTCATAGCTGACCACATATTTCTAATTGTCTTTTTAAGTTAGTTCGAAGTGTATTTTCTGTTCACGAAGCTTTTCTTCGTCCACGAAATGCAGCAAAGAAATTGCGTAATGGCCGATGGAAAAGGATCATGGGAATTCGCCATATATAGAATAACACAGGGAGACCGGCAATCATCGTATCGCTCCATTTGTTCATACAAATCTTACATATTCCTTCATTCTCATCAATGTCTTTTCCTTTTCCCTTTCCTTTCAAGTCAATTGGCGAATAGAGTGTGTTGGGGGCTGGTTGGAATCGGTTGGAATCGGCCCGCGTTGCGGCCCTCTTGGGATCCCTGTGTTTATTCTAGTAGAATCCATCCTGCTGTCATTCGAGGCATTCATTCATCTAGAGTAATCGACGATTAAAATTCATTCATCCATTTATACTGATCATTTATTCATTCATCCCATCATTCCGCGTGCCACCCGTTGTGTCATATCAGCTGATCTTCGTATTGATACCGGAAACAGTGGCACGAGTACTGWCACAGAAAACCGAYACCAACAGAATCAAATGTCAAGAAAGTCAGGTTATCTTAATGCGCAATGGMCAAGAACTGGTGTTTGTTTGTCTTACTGTACGCCGTTATAARCGTAAAATGGGCATCATYAGAACCTAACATWCAATTGTCGCTGACCGATAAGGGACTCAACTATGGTAAGTCATAAAAAYCAYCAGCAAAAAGCAATCAGYTTTGTTTAAATACTTTGTTTCATTACTGTATGAAGTACGATAATGKATTGATGTTGTCTTTGTATGTTTCATGTCTATCTAGACATATACAAAGTATATTATCAGTTCTAAACTGTCTCAAACAGGCTTGAATTTATGTCACTAATATTTAACACTCTAACACAAGAGGCAACAAAAGAGTGTCACGTTCAAGCGCTGTGGCATTCCATCCTTTTATGGTTAAAGGACTGTGCAATATTATATATCTAATCAGTTTATGAGGAGGTGGGTGGTTGAGAATCCAGAATGGAGGGTGAGGGGGGGAATCTAATCTTAAAGAAGAGGGGAACAACACTTATTCAAGTGGAAAACTTATCAAGAAAAGCGTACCACGATTTGTACAGAGCATAGTAATTTATTTCGTTTGCTCAGTCCCTAACATGCCGCTTGGATCTCATCAACTGCAGACTCATCAGGTTTTGAATGAAGAGGAATTTATTGCAGCAAAATACTTGATACTAAGGTGATTGTTTGGATTCAATGGGTACAAACAACGTACGAAAGCAACTTCAAAAAACTTGTACACCTCATTTTACCGTCTCGAAAAAAATGTCTTCCGTCCCATTCCCACGCGTCGCCATGGTTTTCTTGAGTTTAATACCGAGTTTCCTTCAACTTGTATTCAAAACGTACAATATTAATTGGATACAATTTGCTGCTATGTTTTCCTGCTACACTGACTATTTCAATGAGGCAGATTAAGTGGTATTTGCGCAAACCTGTCTAAAACTGAACAGTGTCAGGAATTTCCTATGTATCCACAGGCAGCCTAGCAGCTGGGCTGCCGTTAATCTGCCGTAAGACTTCAATATATGACTGTGCATATATGTGAAGAATAAACTTTGGGGATTTTAAAGAATTTACATGTAAACTTACCTGAAAAGACATCTTTTAATGCCAAGCATGAAGATTCGAACCAGCGTTATGCATTACCAANGACATATACAAAGTATATTATCAGTTCTAAACTGTCTCAAACAGGCTTGATTTTATGTTATTTTCACTCTAACACAAGAGGCAACGAAAATTACAAAAGAGTGTCACGTTCAAGCGCTGTGGCATTCCATCCTTTTATGGTTAAAGGACTGTGCAATATTATCTAATCAGTTTATGAGGAGGTGGGGGGTTGAGTCCAGAATGGAGGGGGGGTGGGGGTACATCTAATTTTAAAGCAGAGGCGGAACAACACTTATTAAAGTGGAAAACTTATCAAGAAAAGCGTACCACGATTTGTACAGAGCATAGTAATTTATTTCGTTTGCTCAGTCCCTAACATGCCGCTTGGATCTCATCAACTGCAGACTCATCAGGTTTTGAATGAAGAGGAATTTATTGCAGCAAAATACTTGATACTAAGGTGATTGTTTGGATTCAATGGGTACAAACAACGTACGAARGCAACTTMAAAAAAYTTGTACACCTCATTTTACCGTCTCGAAAAAAATGTCTTCCGTCCCATTCCCACGCGTCGCCATGGTTTTCTTGAGTTWAATACCGAGTTTCCTTCAACTTGTATTCAAAACGTACAATATTAATTGGATACAATTTGCTGCTATGTTTTCCTGCTACACTGACTATTTCAATGAGGCAGATTAAGTGGTATTTGCGCAAACCTGTCTAAAACTGAACAGTGTCAGGAATTTCCTATGTATCCACAGGCAGCCTAGCAGCTGGGCTGCCGTTAATCTGCCGTAAGACTTCAATATATGACTGTGCATATATGTGAAGAATAAACTTTGGGGATTTTAAAGAATTTACATGTAAACTTACCTGAAAAGACATCTTTTAATGCCAAGCATGAAGATTCGAACCAGCGTTATGCATTACCAAAACCTATATTTCCCTTTTCCTAGCCGCTGAAGTGGACCTGAATTTTTGTGACATTTGTGCAGCGCCAGCGGTAAAKCTAGGATAACCACGGTTTATTTTTAACATGAGATTGAATATATGATTTATGCACCTTGTTTAKGGACCATGAGAGCCTTTTATATGTACGATAGACTCTACTCAAAAAGACAACATTATTCTCAAAGGACGGCGTGCAACCTTTTCACCAGAGGTCCTTATCGCCAGCGGACCTCATACCTTCGCTTGGGAACTAGGTTACACGAGGCAGGGGCGGATCCAGCTGGTGGGTGCAGGGGATGAGCATCCCCCCCTCCCCCTGAGATCTGTATCCTTCAATACTTTCCTTATTCTGTATCATCATGGTAATGATTTTTTATGGGGTGCACCCCATCCTGAGAGCTCCGCACCCCTCCCTGAGGAAAATCCTGGATCCGTCCCTGCGAGGGTAAATTTAGCGCACATGTTGTTATAAATGCATTCGTTTTGATATTCACGCACAAGATCTGTTTTTAGTGTTTTCTTTAATGCAAGTAAATTTTCCGTAAATAAGCCGTCGGTGAGAACAGGACTAATTCACCCATCATGCTTTGCTGTACAAAATGGCATCGATGCATTTGGAGTAACAATGCAGTCAATAATGATCCAATATAAATTGAAAGCATTTTTTTTGTCTTAGTTAAAAAAATTACTAAACGTTTCGGTCCGAACATGGACCTTAAGTTAACATC